TCAATGTCTGTTATTTATTACTCCAAAAAATGACTCCATTTCTTAGCAATTGTTAAGTGGTGTAGCTGCATACTTTTTATTGTGGATTTTCTCTAACATTAAAAACAGAAGAAAAGCCAATTTATCTTAAAAAGAAATCCCTAAAAAGTGCCTATGGATATAAAAATAAAACTGAGAACATCAATTATATTTATGGTGGGGAATAATTGTTGCAGTTTATTCAATTTTGATAACATTGTCTGTAATGGCATTTTACACAGTCCAGGAAAATCTCTCATAACCACATACTAGTTAACCAGCAATATCAAAATAAAAGCCCTTTTGAAAGTCTAAATTTAAATCCAAAATTTAGCCCTATGAGATAAAAAATATATGTAATGGGCTAACAATCTGGCAACACTGTTGTATGTAAAGTTGTGTTGCATGCCCTTATGACTCCAAAATATGTCCACACATTTTTGTAACAATTTTGCAAAGCAAACCTTAGAATTTTATTTTCTAATACGTTCAATCTGATAGCTCTTTTGTTGAACTATCATATTACATCTTGATTTCCAAGATAAAAGTCCTTTTCTTAAAACATCAAGCTTGATTTTATTCCACTCCTCCTTCACAATCTTCCAGAGGCCATACAATGTTTTGGAATGCCGCTTATAAAGATCTTGTTTTAAAATTTCAGATGTACAGTAATCCATAGGAGACATATCAGGATACTTGAGCGGGATGCATTTAAAGGGAATATCTTCAATTCGGGTTTCATTTTCGATTTTTTCAAAAAATAAAGCAATAAATTTAGAGACTTGGAGATCCTGATGGACTTAGAGCCTTATCCTGATGAACTTAACACAGTGAAGATTGGATAAAGAGACAGAATTTCTACTTTAAAAATAGTTGTTAAAACATATTTCTGATGTAATACAAATTAATTTTGACATTTTTTCTACTTTCCTTGTTTTCGTTGTAAGAGATAAATAACCATTAAACCTTTAGAAAAACTTCCCTTGTTTTCTCTGAACCAACATATTAAGTCTTTTTTTTTTTTTTCATCTTTTTCTATTGCAATCAGATAAGTATATCCAAGACTCATCAATTGTAACTATGCATATCCATTTTTGACCTACCAAATAATTTTCATACAGCAGTCTACACATAGCCTTATGCTGAGAAACATATTTCAGCGTTAGGCGATGAACATAATGTTTTTTTGTTTGGAATAGCTTTAAATCAGACTTTATAATTTTGTTCACAGTTCCTACAGAGATATTTAAAGATTTTTCAATAGCTATTTGGCGGGCTGGATTTTCCTTTAGAACATGAGAAACGACTTTAGGTTTAATAAGAGCTATACATACCTTTGTTGGGTATGCATTTTTTGCTTTTTCCCAGTCAGATGTAAACTTTGACGTTTCTTTACTTTCATATTAATTACATCACTTATTTTACATGTAGAAATACTGAAACCATGCTTTTCATATCCTTTTTGAATAATTGAATAAGAGTATTTCTCTTCAGACAGCGCAAAAGCCTTCAATCCATTATTTATTTTTCAGCTACAACATTGCAGACGATAATTAAACCTTGTTCCAATTTGATGCCAGTCACATTTGTATTTTAAAATTAATATTTAAATTCATAGGGAAAATCAAAATCGTTACAAAAAATGTGTGAACATCCTTGTACTCCTACTGGCTTACTGACTGAGAAAGATCATGTGAATTGTTCCATAAATTGCATAGACGAAACTCAGAACTTGTATCATACAACTGCATTGTATCCATGTGTTAGGCCCTTTGCTGTCACTGTGGCTTCTCCTGTTAAACAAAGAAGATAAATATTCACACTATTAAGTTAAAACTAGAGTTGCTGGAAAAAATACGGAAATGAATCTTTAGAATGAAATTAATGTAGGAACACAATGTTGGAAGTCCAGCTTTATATTACAAAGAAAGAAGATGGTCATATTTGGAGATTCTTGATGCAAATAGAATTACAAAAATTTCTGAAAGTCGATAAACTGTTCACCAGTCCTGATGTGAAGAATTAAATTATATGTTATATGAATGATTTGCCCTAAAAAAATCAGGAGTTCATATTGAGTCGAGGCTGCAAGAAAAAAGGAATTGCATAGTAAAATGAATACGTAAGATGAGAGTGGGTTTTTCGTTAAATGGATCAACCACTTTATGCCTAGTGTCAAGGAGTATTTAAAGATGAAAGGTTCCCACCAAAGAGAAAAACGATACCTTTGTTAGACAACTGTTGTACCCAATCTCTAGCTGATGACTTAAATGTGGAAAACATTTGTGCTGTGTTTCTACTGCCCAGTGTAACAAGGGATGCAAGCGGTGGACCCAAACAACTCAAGTAATCCAAGCACTGGACCAAGAAGTTATTTAGAATATAAAAATGAATTGCCAATTCCTTTTTATGCAACAAAATCTGAACTTTGAAGGTAGCATCTATTATTTTCCAAAACATTTCACACTGACAGATGCAATATTTACTTTATCCCCTGCCTAAAAAGGTGCAAACAGCATTACTTTAGATCATTGCTCGCATAATTTGTAGCCTGTGGTCATGTTTGTAGATGACAAATTGAATGATAAATATCCTCTTGGTTTTAAAACACATTTGGCACATATATCCAACACCTTAGATTTAGCTACAAGTTCAGAGAAGATTTGATGAGATCTACACAATTCTTTCCCAACACGTTTGTCAAGATAGTGGTGAAATAATCAAACATGTGCTGGAAAGAAGAATGATGAGGGGGAGGATGAAGATGGAGACAAGGCAGAGCTGGAAGGATGCTGGTGAAAGACTGCAGAATTTCAAAAGATTTCAGTATTTTGAGTATTTGTCAGCATATGATGTTCTGAAGTTTCAATGCATACATAGCAAATTTTTAAACTATCATTTGAAACTTTGATCCCGCAAGCAGACAGACATTATAAATTTTATATGTTACCAAAGTTATATATATTCAAAGTTATATATCATACATATATAAATTCATACCTTTCATGTGATAATAGGTATGGTAATTTAAAAAGGTTTATTTTTTCCTGAAATATAAAATCATTTGTATGTGTGTTAATTTTAAATAATCTGAATAATTTTTAATTTTGTATAATAAATTATGACTGATCAACCAAAAAACATGACCAATGGACTTCGCATGCTGCAGTTTCTACCAGATGAATTCACAAAAAAATGAGCAGGTCACTTTTAAAAACAATATATTCAGTTATCCAGAATCAGTGAGGTCCCGTTCGGTCAGTTAAGAAAGATTATAAAAAGAAGCTGTCTGAGAGATTCCAGGAAGAAGCTGCTGCGATATGTTGACAGAAATCTTAAAAATTATTTACTAACTATGCATCAACGTGAATAAAAATCTTTCTTTCACTTTCAATAATATCCTCTAACAGTGGTTATTTCTATAATCACCCAAAAAAAAAAAAAAAAAAAAAAAAAAAAAAAAAAGCCATTTCTAACAAAACACAAGGATTTCTGATTTATTTTCATTTAGAGGCATCAAACATTCTTATGGTGAATACTTGAAGAAAAATGAGCAGTTACTTGTTTTAAGACCAGATGTTTCAAACTAATAAAACTTATTAAATAAATATCTGAATTAAGACATAAAATTGTATCTGCCATGATTCAACTTTATGTGTTTATTTTTAGCCCAAAGAGCCATTAGCCCAGAAGGGCTATTAGTTTCGAAACGGCATTTTGCGTTGAATCACTAAAAGTGTTGTATCACTTTTCAAATTGTTGCCGCCAAATATATTAACCCTGTATTATATTTAAAGAAATTAAATAATCAAGAATCTTCATGAATGTATGTTTCTCGCATTGTGAAAAAAGCAGCAGTACCTACAGCCATCAAATTTTGAATAACATAGTCCTCCACCTGAATATGAGGGCCTGGAAGCTAGAATTTGTATTATTGTACATTTCATATTTTGTAAAATGTTAGCAAATTTTTTATTAACAAACTCAGAGATTTCAAAGTGAGGAATGGTAACATTGTACAGAAAAAAATACTTTTATCTCCAGTGCACTAGACTGTCTATCAGAAATTCTAAAGATATGCTGTTTCTAAATATTTTTAACTTAAAGGAATATTAGCCCGAATGCTCTTGAAATGTGTATGCGTGTGTAAATGAAAAAAATGCCCTTTTGGGCACAATATTAAATCTGAAAACTTTCAGACTTTTTTCAATTTTATGCTTAATTCTGCAATATTTATTGCATAATTTAGACATTATATGATTAATATTGCAGTATTAAATCCACAACTGAGAAATTTCAAAACTACTGGTTCCTTGATCTTAATGTAACTTAACTGTTGTTATATGATAACTGTCCTGTAGAATTCTGATCAAAGATGAAAGTGTATCTAAATTTAAATAATAATAATAAAATAGCAGAAAATAAAATGTCTCAAAAGGGTTAACCTTGAATCTTTAATGCATACTGTAATTCAAAATTAATAATGTATAATTAGAAGTCTAATCAAAGTGTATCTAAATTAATAATAATAATAAAAATAAAATAGCAGAAAATAAAACATCTCAAAAGGTTCATTCTTGAATTTTAATGCATACTGTAATTCGAACTTAATAACATATAATTAACAGTATATTTGACAAGCAATTCATTGGCACTCATTATAAAACAGGTTTAGCTGTAAAAATTATGTAACACATAATTTCTCCCTGTCTTTGATTTCTGATCCTATCAGACTTTTAGGGATCGCCCCTCCTCATTTAAAAAAGGTATGAATTCATATTCTTAAAAATTTGTCTCTGTGCAAATAATCCTCAAGTATTTTTTTATAATTTGTGTTTAAAATTTCTTGATTACTTTTCTTTCATCAAGGAAAAAAACTTTGTATTTCTAGAATTCTCAAAGAAAAGTTCACAAGCAAATTTTAAATAATTCATGTTTAATAAATACTTTGCATGTGTCAAAAATAAAAATCGATGGTTTAAATAAGGTTGAGAAATTTACTTATATTTATTTGTATTTACACCCATTTCACATATCTGGAGATACTGAAGTTTCAGTTTCGGTTCATAATTATGAGTCATAATCAAAATACTTCTGGATTTTAAATTTCTTTTTATTTGAAAATGAGAACAGAAAATTTAGGAATTATTTCAAGACAAAAGTGGCTGACAGACAGTACAATGTAACAATATATAAACTTCAGTATCTCTGATAATTTTTTGAAGTAAGCTCGTTCATTCATAGCAAATTAGACATCCAATTAGTTCATCTGATAAAAAGTAAAAAATAATAATTAATTTTACACCAGTTCTTTTAAACGAAACATAGATTACAATCTTAAATTTCAAAGTATATATGCAGTGATTTAAAACAAGAAAGGAAATATACAGTAACACCCCGCTTAACTCTGGTCCGTTTAACACTGTTTTGGTTTAATGTGTTTTTATTGGAATAGTGGGATTCCCTGAAAATAGCACGCAGCCTTGGGCTTCCCTGAAATCGAAAGTAATTAAGCTGCATTACTTTTTCTCTGTAGTGTTACACAAATATATTTTTAATATTTCAAACATTTATTGCTATTATTGTAAGTATAAATTTATGTAATGTAATGATTGATATAGTGATAAATATTATAATTTTTAGTTTTCAATATGAGAATAAAAAACATAAAAATAAAGCAACAAGAAAATGCATTTTGCTAGAAACTAAAATGACAATAAGGACAATTCTTAAGAATAAAGAAAAAATAGTGTCATCAGCAACTACAACTAAAAATCTCTGCAACTAGAATAACTCATTCTACAAATAATACAATAGAGGAGATGGAAAAACGACTTTCTATATAAATTGACGATGAAATTGAACACAATATCCCATTAAGCCAACCTATTATAATGGATAAAGCAAGAAGAATTTTAAATCGCATTCAAATTGAAATAGGTGACACAGCTGAAACTTTTGTTGCAAGACGAGGATAGCTTAATAGATTTAAACATCGAAATAATCTTCATAACATACAGATTACAAAAGAAAGCAGCTAATGGAGATATAAAAGCAGCAGCTGAATTCCCAGCGACATTAAGAACAATAACTGAATGAGGAAACTATCCTCCAGAATTAGTTTTTAATGTCAATGAAATAAGCCTATTTTGGAAAAGATTGTCAAAACATACATTTCTATCCTGTGAAGAAAAACGTGCACCAAGATTTAAAGCTGCGGAAGATCGTTTAACATTTCTTCAGGGTGCTAACGCCAATGGAGACTTCAAATTAAAGCCACTTCTTGTTTATCATTCCAAAAATACAAGAGCTATGAAAGGAATATCAAAATCAACTTTACCTATAATTTGGGAGTCTAATTGAAAAAATTATGGACAACTATGAAAATTTTCTAGAATTGGTTCACTGAACTTTTTGCCCATTTGTTAAATGCTATTGTGAAATAAAAAACTTGAACCAAAAGTACTACTTTTAATGGAAATGCTCCAAGCTATCCAATGAATTTATCTGAATTAATAACATGCATTCGCATGGATGTGGTTTTCTTGCTACCTAACACAACTGCATTAATCCAACCAATGAATCAAGGCGTTATATCAAATTTTAAAGCTTATTACCAGCAGTAAACATTTAGACAAATGTTTGAAAAAACAGACAGAGATAATAAACAATCAGTAACAGACTTTTCGAGGAACTATAATATCATGGATAGTATAGAGAACATAAATCTTTCTTGGAATGAGGGAATGGAAAAATGTTTGAAAGGAGCGTGGAAAACCATTTGGCCAGATTTAAACAAGTGGGATTAAAGATTCTGTTGTTGATATGAACGAAATAGTGGAATTAGCAAAATAAAGAGGTTTAGATGAAGTAAATGTGGAAGATCTCGATGAAATTTTGCAAGAAACAGAAGAAAGTGTTTCTAAAGATGAGCTCAAGGAATTAGCGGATCAAGAAGAACACAAAAATATTAAAAATAGCAAGATTCTGAAGAAGAGCAAAAAGAATTTCCAGCAGCATTTCTAGAAGCCAGATTAGCTTCTATAACGGAAATTATGGATTTATTCATTAAAAATGGCACAGATTTTGATAGGAGTTCAAAGGCAAGACGGGGTGCCGTGAATGCCCTGTCCCTTTATTGACATCTTACGGAGTCAAAAAGAAAAATGCAAATGTCATTAGATACCTTCTTGGTAAAAAAACACAAAATTGGAAATGCAGAAAAATCTGAATGATCTAAAATATAAATGATGACTTAGAATTTCATTTATTTCTATATATTAATTTATGTTTCAATATTTGCAAGAAATAAGTTTTTATTCTGTATTGTTATAAAAACATATTTAATGAACTTAAATAACAAAATACTTGAACATTTTCTTTTATTTTATACACGTTTTCCACTAATCCCATTATTTATATGATGAGAAGAACTTTTTTAACGCTACTTCGTATAACGTTCTACCTTAATAGAACGTAACCCCCATGCTAAGTGGGGTTTCACTGTTATTTCCTTATAAATAATACACTCATAATCAGGATACATTACATTAATAAATAAAAGAACTATTTCTGAATGCTTTATTTTTAATATATCATAGAAATTCATACTACTATACCAGCTGTATATTATGATAGCTAAAAGGCACAAGGATTATCTTGGCATAATACACAAGAGGATCAAAGCATGACTTCATGAAGGCCATTCTAAGGAGTTCACATTTATGCAATACACAAGGTTATTTCATACAGCAGTCCATTTAATTTCCAGAAATTTAATACAAAGCAAACTGCTAGTGTTTCATTGATTAAATGGGATAGTGTGCTGCCAGAGCATGTGAGCAATGAACATGAAATGGCACCCATGTGTGAAGAACCAGGTCTCGAGTGACCAGGAAGAGAACAAGACAAGAGGATCGAAGGATTGTGCAACAACTACTTGTGGATTTCACAGTGACTCATTCTACGATACAGTTACATGTAAGGGTGCCAGATGTTCCAGAAACCATCACCAGACACCTTGAAGAAAAAAAAATCTGTAATCCAAGCACTCTTTGTGTGTACTGCCTTTAATACAGAAACATTGGCAACACTGTCTACAATAGTTCCGAGCCACAGCGATGTGGAATGCCACAGATTTGGAAAACATGGTGTTTAGTGATGAATTTCAGTTCGTTTTGGACACAGATGATAACTGTGTACACGTGTGGAAGCGCCCTGGTGAATAGTACAAGCCTACTCATGCTGTCGCATGGCACACTACCTACACAGCAGGTGTAATGATATGGGAGCCCTAGCCTATGATAGCCAGATAGTATAATTCGGACACCCATAATCTGGAATGATCTATAATCCGGACCTCAAAGCTACAAACTTTCTGCTCATGCGTCGCGTTCACGCATGCGCATAGGCGTTTACGCATGCGCGTAAGACCTTTACGGCTGCACATACGCGTGTGCGCATACGCATAATACGTTTACGCATGCGCGTTTAATGTATAACAGACGGTATAAGCTAAAATTATCTAATTACCTATTTCAGTTAATGTTGCAGATTGCGTTGTTCCTTAATCTTCGAATTGGATCCGGCTTATTATTTTTTGCAGACTGTTAGAGCAATTTTATAAAAGTAAGCTTGAACTTTCGATTATGTCAAATAGAATTTCCGATGCTGGAGCTCCCAAAGGATCTACAAAGCGAAAGAATGTTTCGATGTCCATCGTACAAAAAGTCGAATTGCTGCAAAAAATGGATAAAGGCATGAAGAACGTGACAGGGAGGTTAGTGAAAACGAAAAAATTTCGATTGACAAGTTAGTCGGTATTCTCGGCACAGCAATTACAGGACTTGAACAGCGGAACTTTGTAACTGAACAAGAAATTATGTCTGTTTATATAGAATTAAAGAGAAAGTATTAGCACATAAAACAAAGCAACTTAAACAACTTATATTGAAAGAAATGTTTAGAAAAGTAAACAAATAAATATTGAGCTTTTTTTTTTTGTAAATTTTGACACCCTTTAGATCATAATTGTTCTTTATTTCATAAATTATGGTTTCATATTTTTAATTTTATAATTTCTGCATGCCATCTTATCAGATTTAAACTGATGATCTATAATCCGGAATCGCCGAAGTCCCGACGAGTCCGGATTAACGACTTTTGACTGTACTACAACAACTGAAAATCAACATTAGAAAAATAGCTCACCCCGTAGAATAGTAACAGGACTGTAAGAGCAAAAACTATTGTAATGTAAGCTTATTACAATCTATTTTGTATGTACTTGTTATTAGTAATATTGTAAAGCAGTTAAAATGACATAGAAAATCCAGTCACTATGTAACTAAATTACAAGTTTACTTTGATTATCTCAGTAAAAGTATTGTAAATATGAATTCAGATAATGTTTAAATAATTCAAATAATGTGCACATAACTGTCATGATTATATCTAACTATCACATGTAACTTGTACAAGACAATGTCTGCAATCAACATATTTATGCTTCTACACAGGCCTTGTATGCCCATGTAAAATTTATATTTTTATACGGAAGAAATAATCTCTTCTGCCAGGATGACTATTAACACTGTAAGACTTTTACAACAAAGTCAGGTTATAAGGTATTTCTCCCCTAGCGTGCCTTCGTGGTGTAATGGTAGCACGCTGGGCCGGTATTCCAGAGGTCCGTGTGTTCGATTCCCGGCGAAGGCGGTTGCATTATTTCATCTGTCTGCTTCCAATAAACCTAATGACTCTACAAGTGGCGCCCGAACTAAAAGGGTTGTGGATGACGATTCTCTGCACCCAGGATTTGGCGACTAGGTCCCCTAAAACCCTAATCGCCCTTTAAAAAGAGAAGTATATAAGGTATTTCTCCCACTTTCCTAGCGTCCTTCGTGGTTCTGCACGCTGGGCCGGTATTTCCAGAGGTCCGTGGTTCGATTCCCGGCGAAGGCGGTTGTTAATTTTTCATCTCTCCAGCTTCAAAAAAAAAAAAAAAAAAAAAAAAAAAAAACCTAATGTCTCTACAAGGTCAGTGGTTATCTTAGGCGGCATTCAGCCTATGACAGCCAGTCCACTCTAATTGTAATATGTGGAATCTTAATGGGCCAGCATTATATTGATTACGTTCTTCGACCCCACGAGGAACCCTTTCTAAATGGTTTTCCAGGGCAATATTTTCAGCAAGATATTGCTCATCTGCATATAGCTCGAGTTGCTCAAGACTTCATGTTCAAACTCTTCCATGGCTGGCCCACTCCCCAGACTTGTCCCATATAAAGCATGTGTGAGGCCACCTGAAATGCCAGAATCTGCCATGTCACATTGTCTATGATTTGGAAATGATTGTTTAAGATTTGTTAGCACATCTGCCCCAGGACAACATCATGTATCTCATCAACTGTACTGCAGCAGGTGGCAGTCTAACATGCTATCGAAGTTCCACTGTACTTGTCTAATTGTACACACTGCATTTGTTTATGTGTCTTGATTTTTGGACCAAGTTAATCTCTCATTTATGTCATTATGGGTACTGAATTTCATTTCTGCTTTTTTAATAGTGTGGTATTTTCACTGTGAGAGTATATATGCCATACATTTAATTATTAAAAAAACTAGTTTTAAATCTAGGGACCTAATGCTATGGTCTGATGAAAAATGTTAATTTTGAGGGGGGGGAAATCAATAATTGAACCATATATATATATATAATGCAAGATATTATTTGGCACTCAAATCCTTTTCAGAGCATTCATTTTAATAATGAAAATTGACTTACTGTTTCTTACTATTTGTTCCATTTAATGTACCTTATTTCCGGGAACTTCTTAACATTGTTTTGTATTTTTGTGTATTTAATTTACATCATTATGACAAAAATGTATTAGTAGTTTATTAAATGAGCTAAATATTTATTTACATAAAGCATTCTCAATGGAAAATGACTTTGATTTTAATTTATATCTGGATAAAACTTACCTAAGTGCTGACAAAATGGATAAAAGCACAATGACAGCAATAAAAGCAGCACAGCCATATACAAAATATCTTTTCTGAAAGAAAAAAAAGAAAAGGCCCATTATCAGATAAATCTCCTTTTTGCAATGCATCTAAAAAGAAAAATCTGAACTCTTATATAAATTTACATATTTCCTTTGAAATGTAATACCATTAGAAGGATTGTTAAAGCAAAACAGATTTCTAAGCTTTCAGTATTCAATACAAAAGTTCAATCAAACCATAAAGTTTGTGATAAAATTCTTAATAAAGGAATCTATTCACCCTTAAATTGCAATCAAAGATAAAAACTGCAATCTAAATAAATATATGTATCTTACAATTTGCATCAAAATGCTAACTGAAACTGAATAATTTCAAAGCTTTAGAAAGGACAACCTAAATGAAAAAGTACTTGTTTGGGATATTCTAAAAAAAGAAGCAAACAGAAAGAAATATCTTAAAGGAAAACAGATGCACATAAAGGAAAGCTTTTGAAAATGAAGTTTGAGCATTTATTGCTAATTACTAACATTATTATAAATTAATTGTAAAAATAAATACATAAATACAAATATGTACAAAAAAAAATTTAGGTACTTTTCCGTTTTGCCGACGCAAGCGATAAAGTCGCCAATAATGGTACAACCGATGCCAAACGGAATATTCTCGCTGGTAACCTTTTACTGCTTTTACCTTTTACTGCCTCATTCAGATAGTTCAGTTTTATGTCTAAGGCCATTTTCGGCAATTAAATCAATTAGGATGCAATCACAGCGCTTACCCGAAGCCGAAAATATAGAAAAGGTAAAGTCAAGGGTTAAATTCATCAATTCTAATGAGAATGCATTAGCGAAGTAAAGCACTGCAGTTTTACATAATTTCTGAGTAAGTTATTCGTACGAATTGAAGTATTTCTTGCATTTAAACTTGTATTCCAAATTAAGATTTAACTTGAAATTAATGTAGATAATTACTGAGAGCATTATATTTTTGTAGAGTAGTTTACGTGAGATGAGATCGCTTGGGGTCACGTGATATAAACCGGCGAAACAGGATGTTGAACCATGAAAGCATAGTAAATTCTTAAATTAATGTCCTTTTACAAATTTATTGTCTTTATTTATTGGCTTTTTATAAAATTTTAAGCGATATTAAAATGTTTATGCCTTCAAAAAAAAAGAATTCTTAGGAACTAACATTTTTTAAATATTTTTTGTGTGTATAATGTATGTTGTCGCCAATAAAGTCTGCTTGGCGAGATTTGCGCCGGCGAAACGGAAAAGTACCAAGAATAATGATATATCTTACTTTTATAATAACTGATTCAATAAATTATATGAAATTTTTTCGTCTTATAGTGTATAAACTTCTAAAACTGAGCTCAATTATTAAATATGATTTTTTAAATTATTTAACAAGCAATTGTCTAGATGAATCAATAACAATAATAAACTTTGAAGTTAACATTTTAATATTATATTTCCAATCTTTGTCATTCATTACATGACTTCCAAGGTTTTAAAGAACAGATTTGCTGAAATTTTTAAAATTTATTTATAAATTAGATAATGCATTTTTATTTTAATTCAAAATTGAATTAATAAATTCCCGATTTTCCCATTTTATTTCTGAAACACATCGTAAATAAATATTAAAAGAAATTTAAAAAAAACAAACATAAAAAAGAACATTCAATAAACCTGACAAAATACCATAACAAATATTTTCAATGCATTCAAAGCTTCACATATATAATCATATATAATCAAATGTACAAAGTACATACTATATCCTCGTGAGGGCATAGCACGTTTTTCATGTCTCTCACTTCAAAATAAATGACTCAACAAATGATTTTAAAGGATCTAGTTAATTTCACAAGTCAAGCTAGCAATTAATAATAAGTGAAATAAATGTGTTCTTACTGCTTTTAAATCACTTAATTTTTTAATTAATAACAGAACAAATTTTAAAGAAAAATGAAATAGCTTATGCTTTGCCAAATGGCAACATACTAGGCATATGGAAAATAGGAGCATTTTATATTCCGCAGCAGCAACACATTTCTTTTAAATTACTGAATTCTTTTATTAAATTTGAAAAACAAAACATATCAGATTTTGCCGATTGGCAACACACTTCTTTTATATTGCTGAGTTTTCTGATTGAATTTAAAATACCATATTATTATATTTTCGTGAATGGGTATACAAAACTTTCATATTGCTGTTCATTAAATTCCCCCAAAATACAAAATAAATAAAAATTAAATAAAAAATTTTGGCTTCGAGGCGCACATATTCAGCTAGAGGATTAAAGTACTGTACTCTCATACTTTAGTTCTCTAGCTGAATATGTACAAAGTATTAAGAGAGACTAAAGTACTAAGTGCTCAAAATTTGATGGCTCCATATGCCACAGTTTTCCACAATAATGAAGAGCACACAATAATTTCCACAATAATTCATACATACGTACAGTTTCCGCATTATTTAATAGTAGAGATTAATATAATTACAAATTAATATTCCTTTTCATCATCCATTTCATGTCAATATTTAAATTCAGGATATGAAGGAAAATAAACAATTGAATATCAAAATTATAATTAGCTAGATGAATCATCAGTTAGAATTACATCAGTTAGAATGCCATTACTATTCCAGTCATTAACTGTAAAGAACAAAGTGAAGCAAAATGTATTTCAGTAATTCAGCCCAAAGAAAATAGCTTAATACAATGATTTTCAAAATACATGTGACAAATAACACATTCTAAAATGTGTTCAGTACTTTAATACCAAGAATATATGACTTGTATATTTTAAATGCAAAATAAATATTTGCACTGCCCGTTTTCACTGCTTCATTGCTATGGTTCTCAGAAAATAGGAGAACTGTATGCAATTATGAATACCATAGCATGTTCAAACACAAAATAAAATGAAGATATTAAATTATGTGTATGAATACCTTTCACTGATTAACAGCTATGGCTTCCCAAAAACGTGTGGAACTCTATATATTTGTCTGTTCTTGATTTGAACAGTGGATTATAATGTATCATTGACCCCCTTTTGTTGAATATATTTTCCATATTTCAGAAAGCTCTATTTTTTTAAACAATTTATTCAAACCAACCACAAAATAAAATAAAATAAAATAAAAATAAATAAATAAAATTTTTAATTAAAAAAAAGAAAAACTTCTGACATCTAAATGAAAATTCTCTTTAAATTCCAATTTACAATTTATTGCCATACAGTAGCTGAATTTTAAACTTCTATATTTCTTCAAAAGTGGAAATGCTAGATAAGATTTAAAACAAAGAATCATACAAAAATGAATCGCTAAAATACTCAACAGAAGCATATATTTTAATAACTTTTTACCATATTTTTAAAAACAAAATCACGCATCAAAATAAAATAAATAAATATTTATAAAAGTAATCCTACATTTTCATCAGATTTTTATTCCTATTAAAAATCAAAGAATTTCATCAAACATATTCTAACTTGGCAAATTTTCAAATCTGTTTTTTCCCTTCTTGGGGAAAATGGCCTTATTTTGCTGCACTCTTTATCCTCGATGTGGTTTTCTAAATATAATTAGGACTGATTTATCTATTAATGATTTCTAAAACTCTCACTAGTACTCAAACATTTTTTTTTTCTTTTTATGAAATTGACATCAATCAAAAAGATAAAATTTTAAATTTAAACTGGGCTTCACAACCTGTTGGTTTTAGTTTACGCTGTTGTTGACGGTAATGTGTAGTATAAAACCTGGTTCCCTACCAAAGAAGCATACTTGATGTAAGTAAAACATAAACTTCAATGAGTGCTTTCCTAGAGCTTAACAAAACAGACGAGCAGGATATGTCAACATATGACATGTGAGAAAAAACATATGATAAAGAACAAATGATTAACTTGACTGGTAGAAAACTGCTACATTAGGTCAGTATAGTGTACTTGGCTATTCGTTTAGATTGGCAGGTACTTGACTGAAAGAATTCTATGCGATACTTCATATTAATATTGTACAGAAAACTCTGCTAGATTTCTATTCCCATTCTAGTCTTTGACAGCTATAGGTCAGGAATCCAAGCATCATACTGCAGCACCAAGCTGAAGAGAATCAGGGTTACTGGCCACATCTATAACGAGGATGATGCACGCCATAACTGCGCACATCAGGAGGTCACACAGTCTTGATACATTTTTCGGCTTCCGTTGAATTTTTCGCCTCTTCAGAACTGCCCAGCCACAAGGAAGAATGCAAATTCCTGAACAATATCATCAAATTTAGAAAATTTGCCATGCTTATTAATATAATGGTTGGAACTCTGGTTGTCATTGTTGAGCTTAAAGGTTCAAGTCTCAGAAAAAGATTTAATGTTTGTAAATGTAAAGTGTCTGTGTGACAAGAAGGCAGTTAAAATACTGGTCGAGCCAAAAATCCTCAAAAAGGTGTAAAGGATACAACTAGGACCTTAAAGGGGGTTAAACTAGGACAGAACTTCTCAGTTCTCATGGGTGTAAAATTGGTTGCCCCCTGTAGGGGCAATGTTTTTGGTGATGAGATGAATCTATGGCAAATGGGTATGGCCATCCCTGAGCAATGCATTAAGTTACAAGTGTCCAGCCATTTGAAGACATTAACAATTTTGAAAATTTTACAGCAAAAAACGCGAAACTTCGAATTTCAATGTAACAAAGACATTTCACTAAAAGAACTCATACTTACATCAATAAAATAATTTACTACGTGTTTAATAGAATTCTATGCGATACTTCATATTAATATTGTACAGAAAACTCTCCTAGATTTCTATTCCCATTCTAGTCTTTGACAGCTATAGGTCAGGAATCCAAGCATCATACTGCAGCACCAAGCTGAAGAGAATCAGGGTTACTGGCCACATCTATAACGAGGATGATGCACGCCATAACTGCGCACATCGGGAGGTCACAGTCTTCATACATTTTTCGGCTTCTGTTGAATTTTTCGCCTCTTCAGAACTGCCGAGCCACAAGGAAGAATGCAAATTCCTCAACAATATCATCAAATTTAGAAAATTTGCCATTCTTATTAATATAATGGTTGGAACTCTGGTTGTCATTGTTGGGCTTAAAGGTTCAAGTCTCAGAAAAAGATTTAATGTTTGTAAATGTAAAGTGTCTGTGTGACAAGAAGGCAGTTAAAATACTGGTGAGCCAAAAATCCTCTTAAAAGGTGTAAAGGATACAACTAGGACCTTAAAGGGGGTTAAACTAGCACAGAACTTCTCAGTTCTCATGGGTGTAAAATTGGTTGCCCCCTGTAGGGGCAATGTTTTTGGTGATGAGATGAATCTATGACGAATGGGTATGGCCATCCCTGAGTAATGCATTAAGTTACAAGTGTCCAGCCATTTGAAGACATTAACAATTTTGAAAATTTTACAGCAAAAAACGCGAAACTTCAAATTTCAATGTAACAAAGACATTTCACTAAAAGAACTCATACTTACTTCAATAAAATAATTTACTACGTGTTTAATAGGAAATATATTAAAAAACAGAAACAAATTCATTACTTACTATTTTTTTCACTTTTTTTGAATGTGAATATTGAAATACACTTTTATTTCCTTCAATTACTATTTTACTAACTAAATGTCCATGTTTATCAATTCTGTCCATCAGAACATGCTAAATAAGATAAAGAATATCAATTGAAATACTTTAATATGGTCAAAAAATATAAATGTTTTCACATAATATAAAAAACATTATTCACAGCATGTCATTCATTTTATATTAGTACATCCATCATCTTAAATAAATCCTTCAGTAGAAGGATGTTATGTGGATGCGACATACAGAAATCACTCAAATGGAGAATTTTTCTTCGATTTTTCACTGATATGGACAACAGTGCCATAGTCAGCTATTTAACTATTGATTAGTACAGGCTATTGGAGCTAAATGGTGAACTCCAAAAATAGGTTGTAATGTTGTTCGATTTTGTCCTTCACTATGATAAATCCCTTTTTGTATTCAAAAAATATCTTCCATAGTCTTGAGATGATATTTTGAAAAACATTCAGTTCTCTGAACGTATTTTAGTAGGACAGATGATCTTTCAAACTGCCAATCACTCTTCCCCGCAAAAATTTGTTTAGACCTTCATCTTAAAGACAATTTTACTAATATGTAAACTTGCATTAATTATACTCAAAATAAGAATGAAAATATGCTTTTATATTCTCCCCTTTTTTGTTTGTGTATTTCTATATTTTGCACCATTAGTAATATATTTGAACATGTATTTTTCTTCAGTAAATTTGCATATGAAGATACTTTTTTAAAATTTCTGTACACTGTAAATGTATAGTAAGTGTACAGTTATTTCTGTAAAATAACCGTATACTTAATATACATTTTCCTTTACATTCCCCCTCTTATTTTGATCATTACATTGATAATGCAGTATGTAATATACTGCTTTAAGTTATTTATTTCTCAGATGATGTGACTAAAATATTGTTTTTAAATATGAAAATAAATACAAATAATTAAGACTACATAAATAAAAATGATTCCATTAATTAATTTAATAACCTATTAAATTTTTAATTCAATTAAATTTAAGATTCTTCCAATTTTATAAAACAAAAGCAGAAGCGGCTCTTAAAAGGACCCATTTTTATGAATGACCCAGCCATATACATTACAAATGTCGCACAGCAGACCCAAAAAATTGTCATCACTTTTATTACTGGATCTCCACCATGCTTCTGTGAGATAACATAGAAGCAGTTAGAATGTGGTACTCACATATTGTGAAGAATCTTTAGCTTTAAAGTCTTCCCGCATGATTCCACTGTTTCAGTATTGTACCGTTTGCAGGATTTGCAAAGTTCTTTTGATGGTTTACATTCAGTGATCATATCCTCGCCGGCTCAGCTTCTTGTAAGAAGGCCATTCATCACTTATGATAACTGAGGCAGGTATTACTTCCCGCTGCATTACAGGTAGTAACATTGTAGTAGCTCTTCATTCAGTGATGAAAAAGTGTGTTTTGAGCTTATAAGGTATTTTCTCCCTCCTTCCTGCATGCCTTCATGGTGTAATTGGAAGCACACGCAACATGTATTTGAAAGGTCAAAGATTCGAGTCCAAGTGAGGGCATTGCACATTTTTCCCGTATCCTGTTTCAAGATAATAATAACAATAATGACTCTACAAACTTATCATTTTGACATACCAAACAGCCCAGTCACCCTTTTTTTTTTTTTTTTTTTTGCCATAGCTTTCTTTGAATCATGATGTTTGCTTCAGAATTGTCCAAAGATTACTCCTCCACAAATAAATTATTAAAATGCCAACCAATTTTAATAGTAACATTTAAAAATAATTAACTAAGAATGGTAGATAGCATACTACATTATTACCGATATTTCTGCGTAAAAGAGCAGTTTTCCTAAGCAGTAACCTGTACCACAGTAAATTATATCTTATTTATATGAATAAAAAATGCTATGCATGAATCTTTTGCAATCCAAAATCAAGGTCTCACTGAAGAGCACATATCACTGTACCAATGTCAGTCTTAAGTCTGACTTCAGATTGTTTTTAAATTTAACCATTTCCTACTGGTGGATTCTTTTGTGTAATTTATTATGGTAAACATTTCATAGTTTCTGAAGTATTTCCTTTGTTGTAACCCAAATCTTTTCTTTCTTTCCAGAACAAAACTGAAAGCAATCAGTTGAACAGCTTATAATGAACCCTTTAGCAATCACATACATTTATACCATAATTTTGGAAGATAAGTAAATATATACTTTTCACCATTTTTATAAAAAATTTTTTCTAATTCCATAATTATTTTACTCAAAAAGATCACAGAATCATCTATGAAGGAGACATAAAAGAATTAATAAGTAATACTGAAGACTAATTACCTTATTAATTGTATTTTTGAATTTAAAGCATAGTTAAAACATCCAAAAATACTGGGGTAAAAATTTTATTACTCAATAATTAATATACACTTACTAATGGGAATATGGAACACATTTTAAACTGCAAAAGGATAAGGTTTTATTAAACTGAAAAAAGCAAATTCTTATTTCTGCAGATTTATGACATTTGGCATATTTATTTGTTATTCTACTAACTCTGATTCCTAAAACAAGTATGATTTTCTTATCTCATTTACATTACAGGATATGTGAGGATTTTAAAAGATGAGGACATGTATGATGATTCAGCATGTTTGACATAGCCAGAATACATGCCATGAATTGTATTTTACACAGCAACATATCAAGTAAATGATAAACTTATGGACTATTAAATTTATTCATACGATAGCCAATATGCAAATTCTTAGGCCTTTTTCTTATTATAGTCATGTAATGTATTTAGTTTATAAATTATAAAATGTTGTATAAAAAATGTGTTACATTTTATAAACAAACTTGTAAAATCTTCATTAATAAAAAAAGCATAATGAAAATTTCCAGTCTTAAAAAATAATTAAACTTTGGTAGAACTTTAAAAGCAGAAATTTTTATAAGGTTTTGCTGAAATTTGAAACTGTCTGAAATAATTTTTCTCAGTTTATAAAAAAATTGCTAAAATTAGCAGTCTCAGTCTTTTGAATCGATTTATTTTAATTAGCATATTTATCATATATTGGCATAGTAATATCTGGTTGTAAAGAAATCAGAAAAGTAAGAATCAGAAAACTGTAAAGAAAGTTTTCTGCCAGAACACGTTCTTAATAAAATTAGACAACAACAACAAAAAAAAAAAAAAAAAAAAAAAAACATGAAAGCAGTACCCTTTAGTGCGAATAGTAATCATCACCAAATCTAGAATTTTCTGCGAACATTTTGGTAGTTTTCCAAAGTCTTCAGCCCAGAAGCAGATCAACCTCATTTTAGACGTCGTATGCAGAATGGATGATAGCAAGATGCAGCTGCAGATGTGAAAAAAAAAGGTAGAAATCTGAAGCAATGATGTCGGGGCTGTATGGTGGGTGCGGCAAAAGATCCCATTCGAGTCCGTACCAAGTCCAGCAGGTGAATGCAGATGCATGTGGTCTTGCGTTCGCTTGATGGAACATTACCTTTTTGTGCTGGAACTCAGTTCGATGTTTTCCTTGATATCAGCATCAGTATGGACTAGCATCTCGCTGTACACCATACTGTTGAGGGTTTTACCTTTTGCCACATACTCTTTGTGGATAGTATCAGGGCAATCCCACCAGATACAAATCACAATCGTTTTGTTAGTCAAACTGCACTTTGCAACGCTGTTGACGGGTTCACTGGGCACAGACCAACCCCCCTTTTTGGCCTGTGTTGTTGAAGGAAATCCACTTTTCACCATAAGTGATAATCCAGTCCAGAATTTTGTCCTTGCATTGATATTCGAGCAGATTAGTACAGCCCCGAACACATCTATCCTTATCTGCTTGAGTCAGCTCATGCGGCACCCAGTGATTGAACTTGTATGTCAAGTTAATGTGATGCATAGCATGACTAATTGGACATGGCATTAACATAACTCCTTAGCAAGCTCTCGAGTTGGTTGCATACTGATCTTCTTCCAACAAGTTCTTTCAGGCTGGCCTCATCAACATCAGTAGCCCGGCCAGAGCGATTACCTACTTGAATGTCATAGTCCTTATTTTTTATCTTTCAGTACCAAACCTTCACAGTGTCATATGATACAGCATTAGTACCTAAAGCTGTACACATGATTTTGGTGACATTCTGTAGTTGACGTTTTGTAACAGAACTGAAAGTAAATGATGGTTCTAATCTGGTAGCATAATAGTCCCATTTCAGACACCTTGTACTTAATGATAACGATATTTTTTTTGCAAATTTCCAACACAGTGTTCTAAAGCAAGTCTTTTTCAGGTGCCAAAAATCGTTTGACAAAATATGATTAAACATGCCAAGGTGAACTTGTAGAGACACTAGGTTAATTTGGAATCAGGAGTGATGAAAAATTAGCAAACGCCTTCGCCGGGACTCGAACCACGGACCTCTGGAATACCAGCCCAGTGTGCAGAACCACTACACCACGAACGCACGCTAGGAAAGTGGGAGAAATACCTTATAAACTGTTTGCACAGATGGTATTTGCGGCGGCAGGAAACTTTCGTTAAAACCCGATAAGTGCCACCTTCCTTTAGGTAAATCTGAAGTTAAACATAATTACTGGTATACAATAAATACAGGAAAAACATAAATATTACAATTTATGACAATATAAAGTAATGAGGTAACAAGAACTTAGGTAGAAATTCTTCTGTAAATGTAATTTTTCCACGCATTTCTTCAACATCATCATCAGGGTTTTAGATGGAAGATACAATCAAGGACGTAACATGCCTGCTCATAAACTGTTACCAAGGTGTTACAAGTAACTTGAGACCAGTAATTTGATGTCATAATGTTCATCAATGAAAATAATTATTAACATAAAAAACTGTAACCAGAAAACATTTTATTTTGCTTGCTGCATTTTTAAAGAATGGATATTTTTCTTTATCAACCAAATTCCAAACCACTAATTATTAACATAAACTTCTGTACTAATAGTTAAATCTTCTAAAAACTTCTGGTGTGACTTACCAGTCTTCAAACAACTGCCTAGTATCAAAGATTCATTTTATCTCACTATTTATTTATCTTTCACTAACACTATTTATTACTATACCTATTTATCTTTTACCTATTTTATTGTCAATTTTTTATCAGAAGATGCATGCATATGTGATGACACTGCCTTAAACAAATTCATAATGCAGCAGCCGCAGCTGCTTCTTCGACTATCAAATATCTTACCATGAAGAAATCTCAGAATTTTAGTTAGCTAATGTCACCCAGTTTCTAGAATTACTCAATCCTTTTGTGTTTGTAAGGCAGTCATTGTTTTTTGTTGGTGTGTTTCTAATAACTCAGAATTCTTTTAAAATTGAAAATCACTCTTGGTACATCGAACACAATATATTCTGTTATACTCAGTAACAAAATTCATTAGATCAAGCAACTTTAAAAGCCTCTACAATCAAAAAATCATATGCAACAATTAAGATTTCTTTCTATTTCAGTTAGGGTATGCGCTGTTTAACCATTTAATAATATATTTTTGATACCAACATATCTTTTTAATTTTCCACGGCAAAAAACATTGCAATAACATATTACATCACATTGTTAAATGTTACCGTTTCGTTATTTTTGGATAAAGGCAATAATTAAAACTAAAGAACTGCCATTCAATACTAAATAAACATGATATTTAGGCTAGGAAATATGACAAAAATAACAACAGATTATTTCCAAAAAATTCTGAAAGCTTCCAGATTTTATATTATGCCCAAAGTTTTTTTCCTTTTTCACTTACATCTACATATATGTTAAATATTTGCATAATCGTAACGGCAACCGCGATCAATAAAAGGTGGTGCTTTTCTTGGTAGCGGCGCAGTTCATTTTCAGTTCGAAGCAGAGCTGACCTGCCCAGAGGAGATTTGAAGGAATGATGGTTTCCAGTCCAGTCCAGTCCAGTTCCAGTCCAGTTCCAGTCCAGCCGTTGAGTCCAGTTCAACTTAAATGGGGATTTATGCCAGAGGGACCAGACGAATTTTTGTTCTTATAAGATGTGTTCTTTTCCTTAGTCGCCGAATAACTGATAGTTCAAAGCATTCCTAGGAATTTGAATGTGCGGGTATTTTTCCACCTAAGATGTTAAGTTTGTTCATGATGTTAAGTTATCATCATTTTGGAAATTTTAGTTGAATAAACCTTTAAGATTGGACAAGGTTTGTGTTCTTCAGAAAATTAAGATTCGAAGTCAAATATGTAAAATAACATTAACATAGGTTTTAACGTGAAGAAACAACATATACGTTTCGTGAGCATTTGGACTGAAAATATTTGAAAACAGCATATTTTTGAATTTCCAATAGATAGACCATCTATGCTATGTGTTGTACTGCTCGTTATGTGTTGCCACTGCTCACTTTAAAATCGCTGAGTTTCTTAATAAAAAATTCGTTAAAGTACATAAAATATGGAATAGATAATAAAACAAGCTCATATTCAAGTGGAGGACTATGGTATTCAAAATTCGATGGCGCTAGGTTTTGTTGTTTTTCCTAATGAGAGAAATATACTTAATTTCATGTAGACTCTTCATTATTTAATTTCTTTAAATATAATACAGGGTGATAATATTTGGTGGCAACAATTTCAAAAGTGATACAGCCGTTTATAGTGATTTGATGCAATGAAAAGTAATTAAAGTAAAGCTTCATATGTAACTAAAATCATGAAAAGTAATGAAATATCAGATTCCTATAGTCTAACAAAGAAAATTCTAGAAAAATATCAATTTTTGACTCACATCTACTTGTACAATTAGAGCCATATCAGAAAATAAATCACGTAATTCTATAATACTTTTCTCTAACTGAAGAAATTCTTCATGGCGCTTTTTTATCTCGGCAAGATAATGATGAGCAATATTATAATCAGGTAATACCTGAAAAAAATCACAATTGCCTATTATTAAAATGTTTTGAATTAAATTCAGTGAATAATACATAAAGTAAAAATTAATTCAAATACATTAATTTTTTTCCAATATCATATCTGTAATTTTTTAATCATTTATCTATTAAAGACAATAGCAACAACTGCATACAAGAAAAATTATAAAGAAATTAATAAAATAAATTCAAAAAAATGAGTATTAAAATTTCAAAAAATTACTGAATTTAATTTTTGTCATTAAACTTGGAAAAGTTTGTAATCATGAATACATTACAGTAACTGCTGCTTATTAAAATCACTTCCGTTTCAAAAACATTTGAGTTCATTAAGGAGCTGAATTTAATAAGTAGCGATTTCAATATTGCAGTTATGATGTCAATTTTGAACTTATTTAGTAAGAGAATAACTATGTAATAATTAATACCTAAATTATTAATTGAAAATTAATGCTAAAAAAAGAAAATCTGAAAGGTTCCAGATTTTAAACTACGTCTAAAGGGGCGTTTTTTTAACATTTTGTGTGTTACCTTTATTAATTAAATATCATGTTCTTCGCACTTAAACCATAAAATTCAGTTCAAGAGCAATATCGCAAAATAATTTTAAATTGAGCATATCCTTAGAATCTCTGATGCGCAGTCTCGCGCGCTGGAGATAAAAATGTTTTTTCTGTACAACGTTGCCATTGCTCGCTTTGAAATCGTTTAGTTTTTTTAATCAAAAATTCGCTGAAGTGTTAGAAAATATGAAATCGATAATAAAACAAATTTCAAATTCAAATTATTGCTCCCACATGCCCATATTCTACGGAAGATTACGTTAGTCGCGAGAAACATATATGCATTTATGCAGATTCTTCATTACTTAATTTCTTCAGATATAATACAGGGCGATAATATTTGGTGGCAACGATTTGAAAAGTGAAACAGCCTTTCAACGCAAAATCGCAAAACGAAAACAATAGTCCTTCAGGGCAAATTGCCCCTTTCGACTAAAAATTAAATTATTTGGGAAATTTGAAAATTTATTTTTATTTTTACTTTTTTAATTCCATATCTCATGGAATTTTAAACTTTTACCACTTTTACAAAGAATTGCTCTATCCATATTTGTTTCCTATTGCACATCAGCAGTCTTTTAATTGTACGTATTTTCAAATTTGTAAAACTGCTTGTAGCTTTTCTGATCACAACTTTTTCAATTCAAGAGTTCTTAGAGACTGCAGTACTTTTCTCGGTTCAGCTGATGTTGGCATGTAGTAGTCAGTCACTTTCTTCAGTATCACTTTCAATGTCAGTTTTAGTTTCTGCAGCTCTTTTAACACTTTCTGTAATATCATAGGCAGTGTTTTCACATGCTTTTTCAATACTATCATTAACTGTAATGTATTCTAAAAACGAATCGTGTATACAAGCCAGTTTCCCTTAGAAAGTCATCCACTGAGACATCCCTCCTTTTAGGCAGATAGCCCTAGTGTGCTTTGCCGTAACCAAACCAAACCTAACCTAAAAAAGAATATTCATAATTTCCCTCACTGAAATATTCCCGAAATACTAGAAATAATTTGCAGTTCTTTTGTAGCTTCTTGTAAATAAAAACCACATTATTTAAAGCAATTTTCCCCATGCATTGACTATAATACGCATCGCCTCTAGCAAAGGTATCGACTTAGTTACCTCCTCTGAAGTGCTTGCATTTTCATAAGACTAAATTTTGTTTATCTTTCTTTAATAACACCTTTTCTGTAGTGATTATTAAAGGCTGAATGACAAGTCACATTTGCAGAAGAAACACTAAGAGATTTTTCAGAATGACATCAGAGGGGTGTGCAGCACAGTTATCTAATCATACAACTTTTTTTTTGCATTATCAGTCTCATTTCAAAAGGAAATCAATAAAAATACTGCTCTTCATTCACGAGTTCTTGTTATTATAGTAAATTAAAAGTAAATTCTTGACGCCTTTAAAACATCAAGGTTTTCCACTCTTTCCAATAACCAATGACGCCCTTTTATTGCTAATGCTGACCAATGATGTATTTATTGTTAATATCACAGCAACTCGTTCTTTTAATTTCTTAAAAACCAGCTGCTATTTCACATTAAATCATTAATATTGCTCCGGAAATACTCTGTAAAACAAACCAGTTTTTTCTGTTATCAATTTTGTATGACCTGTATTCTTTTAGAAGCCTGGGTAAAACTTTTTTATACATCTATAAGCCGAATTATGGCCTGCTCCTTGCTTCTCACCACGTTATTTCTGATAAACAATGTTATTTCTCTCTTTCCATCTAGATATCCGTCCATCACTTGCCACATTTTCTCCGAGCATTTTAGTAAATTCTACAGCTTTTGTGGTCAGTAGCCTCATAGCTTGAAACCATTCTAGAAGAACGGTTTCAATGTGTTTTGATTTTCCATCCGTTTTGTATTTCCTTTAGACATTCGTATTTTTTACTATTTTTTATAAATTTTATTTCTTTGTTTAAGTAAATCGCGCTATGTTGTTTGAGAAATTCCCATTTTAAATGCTGCTTCTCTTTAGTTGCATTTACCAAATGTATGATAATCTTTCAGGCATAATTATTTCGTTTAGATATTTTCGACATGTTACAAGTTATGCACATAGCAAATAAAAATTGTTTAATACAATTCGTAGAAATATTTATATCGGATCGAACACAATTCGATCAAATTTTGAAGGAATTTGAATTTTTCAAAATATAGAATTCTCATTTCTAGCCAGCAATAAGATTGCACTTTGCTTATCAAGTCGACCTATAACTTGATGGTTATTATAGGCATAATCAAAGCTTTTATTTTTATTCTTTAAATCAGCCTACAATGACCACTCTGCTTTTCTAATCAAAGCCTGATTTTGTACAATAATGCAAGGAAGCATTTCATGATATTTTTTCACTGCACCATAGGGAAGAGTAGCCTAATTTGAACCAATTTTGTATTTTTCACAATATAGAAGGACGGAAGAAGTGCCAATAAAAATTAAGTAGTAGAAAATAAACTCACGAAGTGTGCCTTCAAAATAGAACCAATATAAATTTTAAACTTTTCTAACGTGAAAAGATTTAAAATCGTTCATCGGTTCAATTTAGGAACCGATTTCCTTATTTGGACCGCTAGTTTCCTAAATTGGACCAAAGCTTTCTTACGGCAATTACAGCAAAGAACCTTAATTGCAGCATAACCAGCACACCGAGTATGTATCCAACGTGAACATTCATGATTGTTTTTATTTCTCTTTCTTGTTTCTTTTCACAGATATAAAAAAACATGAATCACCAGTTTTTCTTTTTTATGTTCTTGCCATTTTTTTTAAACTGAATGTTTTTTTTAAGTTTTGGTAAACCCGATTGTAAGGCTGCTTGTTATTTTCCACTGCTTTACTGGGCTATTTGGTGCACTGCGTAAAGAACGGAGGCCAGTTGTGGTTTTTTTCTTGCTCGCGGTGATATTTTTTCAATAAACTGTCCCTAAATCGTTTTATTTTTATCCTTCTATCCTCACAACATCACACTAAAGGGGGAAACGGAGGTTTTCCATATTTCTGCAATTAGCTTTTAAAATAGGTTTTAAAGCACGCTAACGTAATACGTCGTCTCTGACGAATTGTTGCATCCCCGTAAGTTTTTCCAACATTGCCGAAATTGACCCGTTCAATTCGCCAACTGTTTCTGCCCCACTTGGGAAACTTTGATATTTAATGCTTGATATTGTAAAAAAACTCAAATAACAAATCTCAAAATTAAAAATGGCAAATGTCCATAAATAGCAATTTTTATGTAAATAAAAGCAAGTAGTAATACGTTTAGACGATTACTGCCTAAACCTTATTTCGAATAACAATTTTCTTCTTAGCCAAACGAATAAACATTCTGTCAATGTAACCACGAAATCGTTTTCTTAAAAACCCATTGCATTAACCTCTTCTACATCTACGTATAACAAAATGCCTATCTCAAATCTCGCAGATATCATCAGTCTTTGTATATCATAGCGGTCCAAGTAAGGCTACGGTCCAAATTAGGCTACCTTCCCCTATAAACTTAGTATGTGTATGCACTTGCATTCCCTATCTCAGCTGGTGTTCGAGAAAGAGAACCAGTGTTCACTTAAGCTCCACCTTTTCTTTACTCATTTACAATCAAAAAACGAGTTTCCAATGCCTCTTGAGGATTGCTTTTGTTAATTGTAAGATAAAGGTATTCTGTCGTTCTCACTGAAGTTTCTGCTAAACTCGTTTTATTGAAGAACTGTGTAGCTTAAAAATAAATGAACGAACTATAAACAAATTTTATCAGTCACAAATAGTTTATTTTAGATCTGAAGAACCCGTCTTTTGCTAGTCTGAGTTTCATAAGCGGCGGAAATGAGTTTAATAAAAGGCAGTTTTTCCTTTGATTAGCATATATTTATTTTGTTTCCTGGAAATTTGAAAATAATAAGTGGCTGAGTTTATTAATCAGTGAGTTTAATAAGAGGCGGGTACTATATCTGATCTTGAATTTTGTTTTGGTTTAATTCAAATACTATTCACTTCTAAAACTTTTCGAAACATTAGTTTTAAAAAATTTGAAAATGCTGTACTTTGTATACATTGTTTTAAAAGTTACAATCACAATACACAATATATCAAGAAAATAAAAAATTAATTGCTTATGAATAATTTATTGCTACTTTAAAACAAGTATTACATGCTACTCATTTAAATTGCTTGGAAAATGGTAGTACTCACAGTTTGCATGAATATATCAGTTTGATTTTCAATGGCTTCATCAAAATTTATCTTTGAAATATCTATACCAGCTGTATGGGAAACAGAAATTTTATCTTTTTAACATAAAACTGCACCCAGTCTAATAATTTGATTCAAATATTAACTCATGAGAAGTAAAATTCAGGTAAAAGGCTGAATTAATATTTATATCAGGATATAGCATTTTTACAAATAACAGAATAACCAGAGAGAACTCAAACTATTCAGTGCTTAAATTCAGCCAGTGTCCATCAGATTCTGTCTCCAGTAGCTTTAAATAAAATCATAATTCAAGCTAGAGACCCAAATATGATGACCTCTGATATTTTAATCTATTATTTAACTATTTGTAATTAATTCATCATTTTTAATTTAATTATTTAATTTTATTACTCATTTCTTGTTATTTTGTTTTCCTCTTCTGATGGCCTTTCAAAGGGCTCTAGAACTTCTAATTTTAGAAATTAAGCCCCTATTTTAGTATATTTAATATAAAAAAGGAGGCGAGATTTGAGATAGGCATTTTGTTATACGTAGATGTAGAAGAGGTTAATGCAATTGTGTTTGTAAAGAAACGCTTTCCCTTCGTAAATTCAACTTTAAATTTAAAATTTCCCTTCGTAAATTCAACTTTAAAAAAAAGTGTTTTGTAAAAAACAAGTTTTAAAAAAAACTTTCGTTTATTAATAAAATAATCAAATCAAACAATGCAATATACCTTTCTAATTTCACACGTCATATTTTATTTGCAAACCTAAGAAGCACGTTCATATGTAAAAAATCTTAGATTATGCAAATACACAGGAAAAAATATTTCCTCCTTAAATAATTATCATATTTACTTTACAGGATAAGGGATATTTTCGGGTTTTATAAGATAGCTTTAGCAATTTTGATCATAGTTCTTGTATTTACTAAAACAACTATTTCCAGTTTTAAATATATTAAACAACTCCATGTTTATTTCTGAATAATTCTAAAATACAAGGGGCATTTTAAAAGAATATTATAGTTTTTCAGTTTTCATTTTTGTTGATCAATAACGTATAAATTTAAATAAAATTTAGAAAATTAAAATTTAGAATTTTTGGTTTTGATGCAAAGTTCCTTAGCTGCATTTCCTTGCAATATTTTTTATTCAAGAATATAAAAGGAGAATTAAAAAATATCAGTGAATAATTTCAATTATTCAGGGATAAATAAATAAGGTTTTAATAAACAATTATGTAACTTACATTGATTAAAAAAATAAAGTATGAAAACAGTCCTAAAAGCTGCTTAAAGATCATATTCATTAATAGAGACGTTATTTCAATAAAACTTATGTAGTTTTAGAATTCTATAACCAACTAGTTGAAATATTATTGATAAAACATTTAACAAAATTTTCCCATAATTAAAAATGCAATTTCATAAAAATTATGCCTACAAACTTAAAAAGCATTTTCACCAATCCCGGAAAATAAATAATAACTATCAAGCAAGCCTTTACACGAAATTAGCTAATGCGCTCTTTTCTATATGATTATATTATCCAGTGTGTCCTTAAGAGGTTTTATACTGCCTTTATTTTCTCACAGGTTGAAGGCATGTGCTTCCAGTTACAAAGATGCTTTAATCCTTAATCAGTCAGATATAACATCTCCAAGTCTGTTTTATTTATAAATAGTTATGTGTCTCAGTGTATCATCAATAACACATGATCAATTAAAAGTTAAGTAAGAATAAAATATCTTTAATATTTATGTTGTGGCAGTTTAAAATTTTAAAAACTTTTGTGTAAAAATTAAAACATTCAACCATTCTGTAATCTATATAATTATATTTAGTAAAAGTTTCCAATCATTCTATAAAATAAAACACAAAACGTTTGACTTCATAAAAAGTGATCGTTATTTAGATATTTAAAGTTTGAGATAATGTTTCCTTAAAGTCTGAGGGTTGTACACCATTTGAAGAATGGAATATTTAAATATTTCATACAACTGAAAATGGAATAGCAGTTCAGATAATGCTTTCTGATGTTAATACCATAATGTGCAAGCAGCAGCCAATTCATTTCTCACATATTTTCATGAAATTATTGAAAAAGGCTTTTTGAAATAAGTATAACAAACTCGATAAAAAATTGATACATGTGCAATATCAGCACCATAACATCACAGGGTATGGGTCGAAGCACACAAAATTGAGGAGTCAGCACGAGCAGTCTAAGGTAACTTGAAAAGAAGAAAAAAAGGCGCATTTCAAGGTATTCTACTTCAACTGAAAGTGAGATGATACATGCAGTACAGGAAAACATCAGGACACCTTTTACATATGGTAGAATGACTGAGAAGCTTGAGGAAGGACACAGTTTGATGACTCTCTTCCAAGTATTTGGAACTGATAAAAGGGTTGTTTCATGAGCTTGAAAATATTTCCAAAAATATGTACAGCTGTAAGAAAGATTTGTGACGGTCGAGATTTGTGTGATTTAAGTTTTGCACACTAGTGTAGTATAAATGGTGAACATTAATATGCAAACTACCATAAGAAGTTTGCTTGATATTAATTTTTTTCAAAAAGATTTTTATTAACAGAATTTTACAGAATTCAATTTCTAAGAAATTAATGATAAACTTATAGCAACTAATAACATTATTGTTTTCATGAATTAAAAATGAAAAATATTTCCAGTAAAATAGCACAAATATTAGATCATTATCCTAAATATATAAAACTGTATGTAAATATATCTCTAGTAAATATTATTAATATATTTTTGGCATTTAAAAACACAAATTACTCGCATGAAAACGCTTTTTGCATATCAGATGTGACAAAAATTTTTAATTTAAGAATGCGACATGCTAATAAATCCTGAGGGACTATCAACAAATTATATTAAAGTAAATGCAACTTCAAATTATTCTAACTTATTTTTTACCTGGCCCCTCAAGGAAAACCGAAAAAAAAAAAAAGGCTTTCCTACTGATGAAACCTTTTAAAATACTAAACCTAGAAATACAATAATTTGACCAATTTTTAATGCATAGAGATGTAACTTGCTTTACATTACATTTTATGTAAACATGAACTTTCAGTGTTATATGGATTGAAGGACTTTATAAAAACCAGATTTTCTAATTATTACAAAACTGATTTTTATTTAAAAATGTCATAATGTGGATGTTCATTCTTCATTTAAAATATTTTTATTACTAGAGATATATGTTTATGACCAATAGATGCAAAAATAAAGTCCATATGAAGATTTTTATGGATATGATATATAATAGGGGTGCCCAAGATCCTTGATAGTCCGAGCCATTTTTCAAAATTTGAAATTTTTCGGAGCCGCAATTAAATACGTATTTAAAAGGTATGCAAAAAAGGTATTAACAATTTTTTTACAGAAATTATATTTATTGAAAACATATAATAAAATACAAAATAGTGTTGAATTTAATATTTAAAAATTAAATACATTTATATGTTACTTCTCATGAAATTCTTTAAAATTTGGTAAATTGGTGACAGCACTTCTCAGTAATGTTTTGAGAGCTGGTTATTAATACTATCGTTTTGGATTTCACGAATTTTAAAATGGAATAAAAAGATTCAAATAAGTCGTTGTTCCGAATATTGAAATAATTCGTCAGGCAGCCTTTTTTTATTCAGAATGCTTCGATTCTGGTACAAATTTCCGAAATTCAGCAATCGGCTTTGATTTATAGTTTAATTGTAGAGCTTGATCTTCTTGCATCTCTATTAATTCTAATTCTCCAGATGCTTCTTGTGTCATAGTTATATTAGAAATGGAAAACTCATCTTGAATTATGTGAATTTCAAATGGATTCAGGGAAAAATTCAAGAGACGATGGCTGGAAATGAAATTTGTTACAACGTTGCACTTAGTCTTTCATATTTGTTGTCTGTAATTTAAAAGACATTTTGAAACACATACGGAACGATAATAATTTTTGTTTAATATAATAACAAAAAAATGAAAAGAGAACTAGGGTGCATTTATCGAGAGCCACAAATAATCCTTTAAAAAGCCGCATGTGGCTCGCGAGCCGCAGTTTGGCCACCCGTGATATATAACGTTGCCATCACATCCCATATCGGCACTTTCCGCCCCTCTTATATAGAACTTGCATGCCGTTTTTTGATGTTTTGTACATTATTAAGAATAAAATATACATACTCTCTGAGAGGAATGTATGATAATTATTGTAAAGTAAATTTTTCCCAAAACTTAGATGCATACCAAACTTTTAAAAACTTATTTTACAAAAAAATTATTCTCCAGATTTATGGAGAGGTGCTGGTGATATGTCTAAATAATGAAAATGAAACAAAAAGCAAAGATCTTTTAGTAGAGTAAATACTGATGTAAGCTATGACCTTATTGATAAAGCTATAGTGATCATTTAAGAGCACTCATTATAGTCAGGAAGAAATTGACAATTTATTCTAAAAATAAGCGAAATAAATAACACACACAGCCTAATAAATACCTACAAATAGCTTAAGAAATGAAGAAAATGAGAATGCAGATATTAGGCAATTCCTGCTTAGCACACAAGAATACTATTACTTATCAAAATTACTCTCAGAGTAGATTTTAGACCAATTCAGCTAACTGCTAAATCTCGCAGCTGATTAAGATGTAATTCTCTGGTTCTCAGGCCCATTTTCATATACTGACTGCAGCATGGCCATCTAGAAGCTTCTCAAAGAATCCATCATAAGGTTTAAAAAATGTGCTTTTCAGAATCTTCCAGAAAGTCACCAAGTTGGCAAGAAATCGCCAAATCTTGCTAACTTGGTAATAAAAAATGTCTCCAAAGTTCATTAGAAATGATTTTATGATGATACTTTATTGTAAGATGATGGTACTTTAATGTAAGATATAATCAACAAAAGTTTCCTTTTTTAATGCATGTAACTATTTACACAAAAAAATTAAATATTCATGAATGAAAAATTTTTTAAAAGGATATATATATTGAATGTGATATGCATGGTTATTATTGTATCATTTATAAAATGTCCTAAATTATTCATATAGAAAGACACTACTGACTCGTTAGTTAATAACAATATCTTAACACTTTCAACATTTAAAAACAAGTATCTGCTTTCATTTTAATTTACATAATTTGCATGATGACTAAAGATATATTTACCAATTTGTGCTTGGCGTTTTATTCGTTCTTTAACTTCATTGATGTATTCTTCTTGTATATTATAATAATTTGAAACAGAAGAAGTTAATCGCTGTTTTACTGTTAGAATCTACTGAAAATATTTAGACTATAACATGATTTAATTAAAAACGTACTTATTTGTAAGAATTTTATAAAATAAATCCTACTTAATTTCTGCATAACTGCAAAAATAATTAATAAAATTCTTTACAGTATATATTATTAATAAGTTTCGACAGAAAATTTTATTCATCGTTGTCTTAAAATTTTATTTTAAGTTTTTAAATTCCATTACCTTTTATAACAAGTTGAAAATACTAGAATGTTCCACAAATATCTTATTCTAAAAACATTAGATAATGCTACCAGTATTTGCAAGAACATAAACAAACATCAATATAGAACATCATCTCTTTAAGATCACTACAATAATTCAGTACTGTACAGTCTTTGACACTGAAGTGCAAAATCAAATGAAATTATGGATAAAGGAAAGAGGATTCACTTTGTTCAGATACCTACAATCGCTACCGCGAATTTAGAATTAAAGGAAAGAAAAGGGGGAAAGAGAGATTACTTTACAGATTTAGCAGAAATTCACTCAAATATTTTAAGAAAATATTTTCTTTGTTTAAAATAGTTTAAGATAATGTATCTTATTCATTTCCAAAATAACATAAACAGTTTTAAAATTGTGCCCATGAAATTAAACTTAAACAAACAGTGATGATGTGCTTGAGCTTTTAAATAAATAGCAAGTTTTTGCGTTTTGTCATCATGTAATATACTTTTATAAGACTAAATACATTGCGAACAAATCCAAAGTATTAAAATGAAAGATATAGTTATTTTAAATGTTATGCATACTTGTAAGAGTAATGAGAGGACAGGAGTCAATCGATGTTACATGTACTAGATATAATATATATTATTCTTATTGTTGCGTGCGTCCGGGCTCATAATAGATTGAATACACACAGCTTCGATGTCAGGTTGATAAAATTTGTTTTATCAAAATAAGCATTTCAGAGATCTGGAACTTCCCACAAAGATAGTCATACAACTATTCACAATATTACAGAGTATAATCAATAGTTATACTTCAAACTACTATGAAAGATAAACACAACGCATAATGCAAAGCGCAGCTAAAAAGAAAGCTAACCAGAGATTTCTCAGTACTCCAAACTCATGCCGAGCTAAAAGCTAACAACAACTGACAGCATTTGATCGTTGATCATTGCTTTGCTTAATTAAAATTTTGCCCTAGGGACACTTGCCTGAGTTGAAAAAAAAAAGTGCTACTTAGCACCCACACCCACAGGTAAAAAAGTCCAAAATAACAAAATCATGTAATTTTCTAAAAATATTATGCTTGGACAGAAAAATCAAGTTGCGTGGATGGGGATTGAACGCGCAAACTTAAAAGTCACCAACGGAGAGCAGTTGCTCTCTCCGGCCTTAGCTAGTTTTCATCCAGCCGCGGAGATATTGCTAGTAATTTTTGTTTCTCGAAATTACTTGAAGGCAACATGAGAGAGGAATTACGATTACAGCTAATAATACTGATCAATTACATTTATTCAATTACAATAACTATTACGGTCATACAGGAACCGGACCAAACGGTCGCCACCATGGATCCTGGTGAATCTCTCAAATTTGGCGAGAAATTTTTGGAGCTTTCTCGCCAAATTTGGGGATAAAAATTAGTCCCAAAAAACGTTGCCAGCCTCGACAAATTAACGAGATACCCATTTACTTGATGGTAAATAGACTTGTCCCTGTATTCTTATTTTTTCAACATAGCTTATCTCTTAATACTTTTTTTTTTTTTTTCGTTACATTACACAGAAAAATACAACAATTTCACGTATAATTTCACTAAAATTACCTATCTAAGTACAAAATTCATAACAATATTACATGTATTAGGTATAATATATTATTTGCCTAGCCTCCCATTTTATGAAACACAGCTCTACAAACTTTTTTAGCTTAGCCAATTTAAGTATGATTATCGTTGGCATATCAAAAGATTAAGACTAGGTTAAGAATATATAAATAGTTTTATATATTCTCAGCCTAGTTTAATGAAAAACAGCCTAGTTTTACGCTGTTTAATGACACTAGGATGGATATATATATATATATATATATCAATCAATGATTGAAGTAAATATATTTATTAACCGTAATAAATTGCTTAATACTTTCGCAAAAGCTGCAAAGTAATAAAATAATAATTTATTTACAAATAAATTATTGTGTATATTATCTCCTTTGAGAAAGGTAGTAGAATTTCAGTTGCATGAAGTAACTTACAAGCATTTAAAAATTAATCTTGAAAATTTTTTTAAATGAAACATCAAATATGAATCATGAAAATTTAAAATGGAAACTTTTTAAAAAATGAATATATATATATAACATAAGCTGATAATATAACATTGAAAAAGGGTTCACACACCACACACACACACACACCCACACATATATAATATATATATATATAATTGTTTCATAAGAATAATTTGAGTTTTAATTAAAAAAATTAAATTTAAATACATATTAATTAAAATTCCTTGCGCCAATGCTGCAAGGAATGAAATTTAAATTTTAAACAAATTTAATTCTAAACAAATACGTATAAAAGTTAATAAAGTAGAAAAGCAAATTTAAATTCTAAAAAAAGAAAAAAGCCAAAATAATTTAAAAATATGCAAACATGTAAAAGATTTTAATTCTCGAACTAATCACATATCATTTAAAATTCAGAAGCATAAGCAAATCAAGTGTAAAATCTATCCATTGAAAATAAATCTACTAATTTAATAAATTAAAATTAAATTAAACAATTTTTTTAAAAAATGCATATGTGAATGATCGTAGAGTAGGCAAGAGACAGACTTATCAAGGGAAAGTTGCCTGCAAACCTAACTCTCCAATCATTCAATTCGTGTTTCGTCATTCATGCAGGCAAGGGTAAAAGTCAAAACCAAAAGTAATTCCAATAAAGTGGTACCCTTAGAAATTAACATTTAAGTATTAACATTTAAGAATTAAAGTTCAAAAGGGAAAATACTAATACATATATACATATATAATAAGCTGACAATAATAACATAAAAAAGGTCAATACTTTAACAGTACTAATAGGAAGTACATACATTATAGTAAGATAAACACTATGTGGTTTTTATCAGACTATTGATCCTCTTTTTACTTCCTTGTACGAAGTAAAAAGGAAGTATTGTAATTGCGAAAAGTTTCAGGCAGCATATTTCAACGAAAATATCCATTTTGACCACTATCGAATGCAATTTAAAACGATGTTTTTTTTTTGCGTGATTCTGTACGTAAGAACAAAATAAAATACTCTTTTCCTTCAAAAAAAAAAAAATTATAAAACTGCTTTAAAAATTAATTCTGAAGAGAATTTTTCGTGCGTCTGTATGAACGTATGTACGAACGTGCGTACGTACGTATCTCGCATAACTCAAAACGAGTAGCCTCAGAACGTTGAAATTTTGTATATAGGACTGCTATAAACATGTAGATGTGCACCTCGTATTTTGGTTGCAATCGGGCCGCACCAAACGTATATAAATATATTTATATATATATCCACTCTGTTACCCGGCTCAGTGATCTCAGTTTCTTTTACTCTTATATGTTTGTAAATTGTACATTTTTGCTTTAAAAATGATTGTAATTATGTAGTTGTTTTATCTTCCGGTTAAGGTTTTTTTAGTAAATCTGTATGCAATATATTTTTAGAATTATCAACAATTTTAAAGTTGTCTAAGTGCCGCTAAGCCTTTTTTTTTATGGCGGCCATTGATGTTTACATTTGAAACAGGAGACTAGTGGATTTGTTGCCAATCTAGAGAAACTTAGCTTCGCAACAACAAGATAACGCATTCATTTATTATTGCCAATTAAATCATGCTTAATTCTTTCTGGAATTTTTTCGAGGAAATAAGTGTTTAAAATTTACTTCGTAATTTTTAATATAGATATTTTTTGATTTTTTATGTATTTTTTGCTTTCTCGCGAAGTGAGAACTGAGTTTAATTAAATGAGAAATACTCAATTGTCTGTGAAAAACTGTTTCTTTTTTTGTTTTGTTTGCTTAATGTCTTTTATACATCATTCTAGCTTTATTATAGTATTTGAATAGAACAAGTGGCAACGATTTAGATAATTTCATTCTTTAAATTATATAAATTTTTGAGCATTATGAGTTATAATGTGAACGAAATATATAAGTAAACTGTTATATAATTATTGGATTATATAACATTTTAACTTAGTTTCTGGTTATATAATTATTATATAAGTTAACTGTTATAATTATTGATACTGTTAAGTGAATATAGCGCCATAAACAAATACTAGAGTGAATTTTTTAAAAAATGCATTTATTCTATTGTGGTTTATGCGCTGTCGGCGAAGTAGATTTAATTCAATCCAATAAGTTTAAATGAAAGGCAAGAAAAAATGCGTATAATTTAATATTCCGTACAAGGAAGTCATGTGTTGTACACATCAGATTTTTTGATTTAATTATTATCTCTTTTTTATTACATTAATTTCGCAGCATAATGCATGACTTTAATATTTCATAATTTTAATTTGAAATTTCTAAGTTTTTGTATATGTATATATACTGGGTAATACTAGGGATGACATGCATAACTAATGCAAAACCTTGAAAAAGGAATCACCGGTATTATAATTAATAAAGTTGTTTTTTTAATTTACCAGAATTTTTAAGCAGATTAGTCTGGAGAATAAGTTTAGCTAGTAAAATAAAATTAAATAAATAAATAAAACAAAACGAGTCCACTAAAAATAATGGAAGAATAAAGATAATTTGAAATGAAAGAAGACATAAACAGCATTAAAAAATATTTACAATAGAACTTTAACAATACCTTTAAATTCAAATTTATATAAATAATCAATTAGAAATTTTTGTGTTTTGACAAAGTTTTCTTTTTAAAAGAAAAAGCATATATACATCTGTGTGTGTGTGTGAGAGAGAGAGAAATATGAAAGTTACTATGAAAGAAAATTACAGTT